TCTGACCTCTGACCCCTCTGGGTCTGACCTCTGACCCCGCCCCCTCTGGGTCTGACCTCTGACCTCTGACCCCTCTGGGTCTGACCTCTGACCCCGCCCCCTCATGTTGGCCTCTGACCTCTGACCCCGCCCCCTCTGGGTCTGACCTCTGACCCCTCTGGGTCTGACCTCTGACCTCTGACCCCGCCCCCTCATGTTGGCCTCTGCCCCCGCCCCCCCCGGGTCGGCCTCTTGCCCCCGCCCCCTCATGTTGGCCTCTGACCCCGCCCCCTCACGTTGCCATGTCTGTCATAACCCCCCTCAGGCTCCACAGACGAGTCCACCTACATCGTGCAGACGCTGGACTTCCACCTGGGACACAACACCATGGTGACCAAACCCTGCGGCGCCCTGGAAAGCCCGATGGCCACCATCACCAAGATCACCCGCCGGCGCCACGAGAACCCGCCGCACGGCGTGGCCACCGTCAAGGAGTGGTTCAACTACGTCACCGCCATGAGGAACGAGGGTAACCAGCCTCCCTCCTGCAGGACCAGAGTCCAGTCGGCTTTCAGGGAAACCATGAGCCTCTCAGAATACAATAACTAATGTTAAAGCTCTAAAGAAGGTTAAACGAGACTAAACTAAATGTTAAAGCTCTAAAGAAGGTTAAACGAGACTAAACTAAATGTTAAAGCCTTAAAGAAGGTTAAACGAGACTAAACTAAATGTTAAAGCTCTAAAGAAGGTTAAATGAGACTAAACTAAATGTTAAAGCTCTTAAGAAGGTTAAATGTGACTTAAACTAAATGTTAAAGCTCTAAAGAAGGTTAAATGAGACTTAAACTTAATATTAAAGCTCTAAAGAAGGTTAAATGTGACTTAAACTTAATATTAAAGCTGTAAAGAAGGTTAAATGAGACTAAACTAAATGTTAAAGCTCTTAAGAAGGTTAAATGTGACTTAAACTTAATATTAAAGCTCAGAGGACGGTTGAAATGGAACAAGCCTGGCTTTAACTCTGGGTCTGCTTTTTCCCCTCTTGGCGCCCTTTGACCTTTTGGACTCTGGGGGTCTCACCCTGCCTCTGCCCCTTTCAGAGCTCAACCTGCTGAGGAACGTGGAGGCCAACAACCAGGAGAGCGGGGTGGCGGCCAAAAGCTCCAGCCTGCTGAGCAGCTTCCGCAGCTCCTCCAGCTACAACCACGAGACCGAGACCATCTTCGCCCTGCCCCGGATGCAGCTGGACTTCAAGTCCAGCCACGTCCAGGACCCCGAGGAGCCCTCGCTGACCGGTGGGCTGCCGGCCTTCGTTAGAGCCCCTTATAGCCCTTAGAGCCCCGTAGAGCCCCTTAGAGCCCATTAGAGCCCCGTAGAGCCCCTTAAAGCCCCTTAGAGGCCCGTAGAACCCCGTAGAGCCCCGTAGAGCCCCTTAGAGCCCCGTAGAGCCCCTTAGAGCCCATTAGAGCCCATTAGAGCCCCGTAGAGCCCCGTAGAGCCCCTTATAGCCCCGTAGAGCCCATTAGAGCCCCTTAGAGCCCCTTATAGCCCCGTAGAGCCCCGTAGAGCCCATTAGAGCCCCGTAGAACCCTTTAGAGCCCTTTAGAGCCCCTTAGAGCCCCGTAGAGCCCCTTAGAGCCCCTTAAAGCCCCATGGAACCCATTAGAGCCCCTTAGAGCCCCTTAAAGCCCCATGGAACCCATTAGAGCCCCTTAGAGCCCCTTAAAGCCCCATGGAACCCATTAGAGCCCCGTAGAGCCCATTAGAGCCCCTTAAAGCCCCGTAGAACCCATTAGAGCCCCGTAGAGCCCCTTAAAGCCCCGTAGAACCCATTATAGCCCCGTAGAGCCCCGTACTCTGAGGCAGATGGGGCTGAGGATAGTGGAGGGAGTCCCTGTAGGCGTGAGGGAAACTCCATCTGTGAACGCCCGCTGGGTTCAGGGGCTCAGAGTGGAGAAGTTGATCCCAACTTATTCTTTTTAATCCCAGCAGAATTTAAAGCATGAACTAAGAGTTGACTCACATGTTTATTGTGTTTTTCAAGCTATTTTAAGTCATTGTTGATTGGAGTGGTTCGTTAATACAAATTTGACATCAGAAAACATTTTTTTTTCCCAGTTTCTCAATGTTGCCCATAAAGAGTTGGAGTTTCTCCTGAGCTGCTGATCACCGACCAGATGCTAAAAAATAGCTTTTCTGGATGTTTTTTGTCTGATTATTTTTCATTAAAATAACAGAGGAAATATTGAAATGTAGCAACTTTGAATGAGAAAATTCCCAAAATATTAATATTTAAAAAATTTAAAATACTTTAATAAAAAATACTTATCTGAAGGGAAAATGTCTATTTTGTTTTTTATTTGCAGCAGTTTTTGTCCTTTAAAGGGTAAAACTGTTGGCTGATTGTCTTAAAGCAGAAAAACTTGAATGGAGGTCTAAATTCTGTGGGTCTTTGTAGTAAAAGACGTTTCTCTGCTGTCTGGTCGGTTTCAGACTCGGACAGCAAACCCAAAGTGGAGTGCAGCGTGGTGACCGAGTTCACTGACCACATCTGCGTGACCATGGACGCCGAGCTCATCATGTTCCTGCACGACCTGGTGTCGGCCTACCTGAAGGAGAAGGAGAAAGGTCTGGGCCCAGAGCCACACCAACACAGTTCTGCTTTTTAGTGGATTCACAAGAAAACATTCCTCCCTTTTTTGGTTGTAAAAAAGGTTTCATTACATTTTTAAAAAAATGTAAAATATTAAGACTTCAAATTAATTAAAAAAGACAAAATGTTTTAACAAACATTTTGACTTTTAAAGGTTTTAAAGGTTTAATCTTTCCAACATTTATTTGTGAGGTGAGCTTGGGTGACTTAAAAGGCGCCTCCAAATCAATCAAATCTGTAGTTATTAGTAACTAAAAAATTAGGAAAAAGCTCCATTTAATTTTTTTAATCTTTTAAGTAGATCAGTTTAAAAAGGGAAACCTTTGTTGTCGACTGTTGAACATTAATGGGGTTTATGGAACCTTTTTAAAGCCTCTGACTGGCTCGTTTCTCGTCTGTTCTGACTCTCTTGGCTCCTCTCAGCTCTCTTTGCTCCTCGGATGTTTGCCGCCCGCCCCGCGCAGAAGAGTCCGACCGCCCTGCACGACGGCGCCGGCGGCAGCAGCGCGGAGAGCAAAGAGGAGGGCATCAACTACACCACCGTGGACTGGAGGGAGTTCATGTGCAACACCTGGCAGCTGGAGCCCACGCTCAGGTCTGTGATCCAGTGATACGGAATAGATCAGATTCAAATGATAAATCACCGAAATGAAGGCGATATTATGGAGCCTTAAAATGTTTTTCTTCTTTACTTTAAACTTCTGGGTTTTTTTTACTTCGAGAGAAAAAAATGTTTGGTCATTTTGTGAAGCTTTTGAATAAAATTCCCACTAAGAACATCCAAATAGAGCATAACATTTTTTTTTTGTTTGCTTTTAAAAACTCAACATCTTTGACTGTTTTTTTTAATTTTTTTTATTACTTTCGAAAAGTTTTTAACATAAATCTTAGCAGACATTTTTTTTGGTTTTTCTTATTAAAATCTGAACATTCTTGACTGATTTATTTTTTTGCTTAGACAAAAAAAAACAGCAGATTTTTGGGTAAACGCTTACCGGGCATTCAGACGCTGCCCCTCTGACCAGCAGGGGGCGCCGCCCCCCTCAAAGTGTCCTGACGCTGCTCTGGGCTCCGGTTTCAGGCTCATCTCCTGGACGGGCAGGAAGATCGACCCGGTCGGGGTGGACTACATCCTGCAGAAACTGGGCTTCCACCACGCCCGGACCACCATCCCCAAGTGGCTGCAGAGGGGCGTCATGGACCCGCTGGACAAGGTGCTGTCCGTGCTCATCAAGAAGCTGGGAACCGCCCTGCAGGACGAGAAGGACAAGAAGGGCCGAGACAAGGAGGAGCACTGAGCCCCCCCCCCGCCCGCCTCCCCTGGCTTAGCCTTCCCGAACCATTGCCTTTTCTTTGTTTCCCATGGAACACGTGCTCGTGGCGTTCGAGGACAGTCGGGATTCCCGAGAGTGGACCGTCGACCGCAGAGGAAGATTGTAATTCTGATTTAAAACATGAGATCATTATTTATGGGGGGTGTCGAGCTTTGTTTGTCTTTTTTAATCCACACAGGAGAAGCTGTGAACGTGCTTAAATTTATTAAATGTGTTGATTTCTTAACTTAATTAAACTGTTTCCATTCAGTTTTAAATGAAGCGGCGTCGTATTTTTTATTTAACCTTCATGTCTACTCCACATTTCCAGCACATGAAAACGTTTCCACTTCTGTCTGTCAAATCTGCTGGAATAGGGCTCAATTAGTGGAAATCAGAGCTGATACTGGAGGGGAAAAGCAGAAAATCTAACTTTTGTCTGATTTATTGGGAGTGTGCTGGAGAAGAGCGGACGCAACATGGGAGGAGAAGCAGGTAGTTGAAAGTTGGCAGAGGTTTCTGCGGAAAGAAACCACGGAGGTGGGAGCATGGGGAGTTTTTGGGAGGGCTGCAGTGAATAGAATGAAATGGTGACATGAAAAATGCAGAGATGTGACAGAAAGGGCCTCTAGAGCACATTACCTTGTGAAAATGAGATCAAGCGCTTTACTGGCTTTGTGAGTAGGAGGACTGCTGACCAGCTGTAGGTCAAAAGAGGTCATTAATGTTAAGAAATCAGAAATCAGATGAGTTAGGGGAGTCAAGGTGCATATTCATATCACCAAGGACCATTGTGGGATAATTAAATTCATGAATGGAGGAGAGTAAGATGTCGAGTTCATCTAGAAAATCCCAAAGTTGTCAATGTGGGCGATATATGACAATCATGCAGATTTTGACCGTAACCATGATGGCCTGGTATTCAAAAGTGTTGTATTTGACATTTGGCATCAGTTGTTCATATTTCCATTTTTGGGAAATTAGCAAGGCAGTTCCACCACCTAACCCAGATGTACGAGGTGTGGGAGAAAGTGTGGTTAATTGAGAGTGCAGCCGGGGTAGCGCTGTTTTCAGGATTAATCCAGGTCTCAGTGAGAGCCAGGTCAAGTTAAGAGCCAGGATGTCAAGTGATGTGAGATAGATAGATAGATAGATAGATAGATAGATAGATAGATAGATAGATAGCCCTGTATAAAAATGATAAAAAAGGACAATAAATTTAATCTGACAGTGCAATAGCATTAAAAATGAATAAATTGTGTGCTGCCTAAAAGAATGACTATGACATGTAAAGTTTGATAAAAAAAAAGACAGTTTACAGTTAGGAGATTTGTTAATAAAAAGTAGTTTACGTTTCTTAAGTCTTACATCTTTATCTACATGCGTAATCTAACCTGTTACCTGTCAATCATATCATTCCTGTTTTGGCGTTGGTTGTTAAAATTCACCAGCCAATCACAGTGCAGTCTCTGTGAATGGGCGGGCTTAGTGGGCAGGTGGTGTGAGGAGAGCTGAGAGCCAATTTCAGTTAGAGACAGAGGGACAGGAGGAAAGGTGGTGTGAGGAGCCAGTAAGTTTTACCTTGGACGTTCTGATATACTTTTGTGTGACCTGCACCAGGTGAATATGATGTATATGCCTGTACTCTGTTCCCGAGCTGTCATAGTTTAAGGAAACTTGATTTGTAAGACGGTTAGCGACTTGCTAATTAGCGCTAGCATTCTGTGCTATTGGGCCTGTATATTATAGCTTTAGCATAGTGATCTTTCTGAAACTAAAGCAAGCTAATACTAATTCAAAATGAGATAGTGTTCGATACTTTGGCTCAATTTCTATTGTTTTAAGGATATGGTTACTAGAGAGAGAGAGAGAGAGAGACCAAAGTGTTTTGAGGGCCAGTCCTGTCCTGCTGAGCTGCGCTTTTTCATTGTGTTTTTTCGCGGCATTTCCCGGGTTAGCTTGGAGTCCAGGTCACTGCAGTTAGCTTGGGTTCAAGGTCATTGCGTTTAGCTAGGATTGAAAGACATATTGTGTGATGGCTCAAAGGTAACATGTTGAGTTTTGAGTTGTTAATTCAAGAGTACTGTTTAGCAGATCATATTTAAGATTCAAAGGAGATGGAGGTTTTTTGGAGGGAACAGCTCCAGGACACACAGATGGGCCTCACCTGTTGATCCATTCTTCATCTCTGATTGGCTGGAACATGGAAACCTTGCAGTGTTAACAAGTGGTTCAGTCTTATCAGATGGTAAGTACATGTAACCTATTCTGAATACAACATGCTGTTGCCAATTGATGATGCTACTTATGCTAATAATGATACTACGTATGTTAATTATTCTGGTGATGTTATTGATGCTACTGCTGCCAATGCTAATGATGTTGATGATAATGATAGTAATGATGCTAATGAAGTTGATGATAATGATAGTAATGATGTTGATGATAATGATGCTAAGGATTTTGGTGGCTGCGATGAAGCTGGTAATTCTGATGTTAGTAGTGATGCAACATGTGTAGATTATGCTATTGATGTGAAATTAATTATGCTGGTGTAGCAGTGTGATGTTATTACACTAGATTGTAAAAAGAGAAGCTATTCCGGTAGGAAATTATATGACCACTTGCAGCTTTTATTTTAAAAATTCGGCAAATCCATTGCGGAACAGCAGGTAACTTCCTGTTGCAGAATTATTATTTTGATTAAAATTTAATGTGTTGCAGATGAAAATGAAAATTATCATCTTTACTGTTGAATATATTGAGTTCATAAATGATTGTTTTGAGTGTTAGTTCGGGATTTTAAAAGACAAGTTAACGGGTCATACCATTATAATCTGTTAAGGGTTTTTCCACGCTCTCGTTGTGCTCTTTCTGTTCAGATTCCGTGGGAGAAGGTATGAAGTTTTGTTTTCTGTGTTCGATAAATGTTTTTAAGGATAATAATTGACCATTTGATTTTTATTCTTGTAAAATAATGTGCTTTGGAGCACTCGAATCCTGTTAAAGGCTGATAGAATTGCGTTAGCAGCTATTTTGATGCTCTTAGGCTAATGAGACATTGCTAATAAAAATGCTACATCCATGTGCTGAAAATACTATAGTTCATGGTTAAACAGGTGCTGTGGAGCACTGTGGAGAAAAAGCCTGTTCTGAAATACTATTTTCTATTTGAATGCAGGAGCATTAAAAGTGCTGTTGTCTGGCTATTATTTATGAAAAAGACAACGCAGATTCAACCACGCTACACTGGTGGTGCTTATGATGCTAGTGGTGCTAATGATACAAAGCTGTGACATGACTAGTCCTGGTTATTTCTGGAGGAGACTCTTGTTAGCTTGGATAGTGTAACGGAGTTACTCTAGCACTTAATTCATTGTTGTTGTTTTGGTCACTAATCTTCATGTCATTTCAGGTCCGGCCCTTCCCTTTCATGCAATCACTTATTCCCCCTCACCTGGTTCTCTCCGCCCATCTCCTCACCTGCTGCTCATTTGGTCATTCAGTATTTATACCACTCCAGTTCCACTAGTTCCCTGCCAGATTGTCTTGTTATTCTGTGCCAAGCTTTCATGCATTCTCTTCTTCTGCCTTCTTGTAATAACCTCACGTTTGGCTCCTGGCATTTTGGATTCCTGTCTGCCCCTTTTCAGATTAGTTTGCCTATATGACAGATCTCCTGGTTTAGATCCTGCCTGTTTTTGGAGTAAACTGATTTTCCCTCACTACTTGCCTGTTTCGTGGTCGTGCTTTAGGGTTCTCTGTTGGCTGGACCAGTGGTGGTGACAGAGGGTCTTCAAAATGGATAGGACTGGTCCAGGACACGCAGACGGGCCGGACCTGTTCATCCGTCCTTTATCCCTGATGGGCTGGACCATGGAAACCTTGCGGTGGTAGGAAGTGGTTCAGTCTGATCAGGTGGTAAGTACATGTAACTTTTTCTAAGTACAACATGCTGATGATGTCACTGATGCTTCTGTCAGACATGGACAGAGCTGAGAGAGGAGGCAGCTGGTGTGGGGAGCAGTTAAGTTTTATAGGAAACGTCGACTACTCCTGGTCCTGAAAAACTTATGTCCCCTGAAAGAGGTGAATATAATGGATACGCCTTTATTTTTGTTTCCTGTCCTGCTGAGCTGTTTCTTTGTGACTTTGCCCCCATGTTAACTGGGATTCCTGTTCATTGCTATTGGCATCGAGGGACTCTCATCTCCCATTCTGCCTCTACTACCCAAACCATGGATGTGTGAGTACCAGCATACACAGCACCTGATTTTAAATAGTGCTCATCTCTGAGTGAAGCAGCCATTACAGTTTTTAGATCTAATGCACAAACTTAAATAAAATGGCATTCAAGGTTAGAATATTAAGTGTGTCATTGAGTGTGGGCCTACAGGTAACATATTTATTTTTTACGTTTTAATCCAAGAATGCTGTTTTGAAAATAATCTGACAATTCTTAGAAGTATTTCATATTGTTTAAATGATACGAAACAACAGATCTTCTTTTTGAGATGGTGTTTTTCCTTGTAACAAGTGTGTGATAAGTAACTGAAAGTATTTTATTTCTCTTTAAGGTAAAGAAAAGGTATGGAACCAAAAAACGGAAAAAGGTATCTTGTCATTAATTCTATGTAATTTCATTTTATACTAAATGTAAAGTCACCTTCATTAATTTTTTTCAATAAGTACCTGTTAAGGGATTATTTTATTTAAAGAACAGTTGTGGTGGTCATTAAAACAGCAAACCTTATTAAGAGCACAAATGATAAAAGTAACAGAAACGATTCAATTCAATTTTCAATTCAATTTTATTTATATAGCGCCACATCACAACAACAGTTGTCTCACAGCGCTTTCCAAACAGAGCAGGTCAGACCCTACTCTGAAGTTAACTACAGAAACCCAACAATTCCCACCATGAGCAAGCACTAGGCGACACAGGCAAGGAAAAACTTCCTTTTAACAGGCAGAAACCTTGAGCA